ATCCTAACTGGATGTGTAGAACTCCAGAATCCAAGGGCACTATGTCTAGGAGGATATCAAATAGAAGAGGGAGATTTACCTAACTTGAAGCCACTTCAAATCCTACTTTCTTGAGAAAATAGGATTGGAAGGGTCGTTATAGGCATTGAGACATTTCCTTAGTGCATTGGCGACAGAAAGGGGCACAATAGATTTTTTAGGTGGCAGTGTATTAACACCCCATTCTCAACATAACATAGGAGTTGCGAATGATTTATGTCTACGAAATAGCTACAACGTACAAAAACTTACTGTCATCCGTCATACAGCGTTTTTGTTTATAAATCCAAGCTACCTTTTTCTTGAGGGAAGGCAGTGAAAAAAAAAAAACAAACGACCATTTCTATAAATAATTTTTATTTAGAATACATAATAATTTGCGGAAAATATTAGCACTTCATTTTTTACTATTTTGTTTTCTTCAGCGACATCCTAAATAAGGCAGCTTACTCTTTTATTATTATTATTTTATTCATATCTACAAAGTATTCATCTTCAATAAAACTACTACTTTTTACAAATTAATCATAAATAATAAATTGTAATTATTGTTATTTATATTAATAAGAATGAGACGACGCGCTTTTCTCATAGAAAAATCTACACGCGACCAACCATAATTTATAAAAAAAACAACAGTTCTACCCAAAAAACGTGCTTAAATATAACGTAATACAAGTCAAAAATATCTGCCTTGATTTTAAATTTGCTAGAAAAAATGAGGTTATGTTGGTATTTTAACAATGTTTAACAAATAAAGTGACATATGTCAAAATTATACCGGTTTATTATTGACAGGTGTCAAAAATTAACAGAATTTTAATTCTATCATCGTCTCTTCTATATCTAGAATCTAGAAACAATTGTATACTCAAATGGCAACCTAACGAGTGACTAATATTAAATGTACAAACACAAAGAGGAACAAATAGGGGAAAATTCGGACGTTGTAAAATACAAAATAGAAAAGGGGAAAGTCAAATTTTTAACTGTTATTAGAGTCTACCAATTATTATAACATACAAAGTGACATATGTCAAAATTGTATAATTAAATTATTGACAGGTGTCAAAAATTGATAGATTTAGAATTTCATTTCCATCATTGTCTCTTCTACATTTAGAATCTAGAAATAACTGAATATTCAAATAACAATCTAAAGGGGGGGGTGGGTTGGCTCAGTGGTTAGAGTCATGACTTTGAGATCGGAAGGTCTCAGGTACGAATCCCATCGTTGGCCGGGATTTTTTCATTTAATTTAATTATTTAAAATTAATTCTGATGCCTTGGTAGGATTCCCCACTCGACCATTCACTGTTGGGTTCTAATTAACAGTGCTGTACCTAAAGTGGCGCTGGGAAACAGTAACAAAGCCTACACAGAACACGAGGCTAATGGCCGTAGTAGTCGACGCCGATGACACCAAATTAAAAAAAAAAAAACAATCTAAAGAGTGACAGATTACAAAGTGAAAAGACAAGTAGATGCAGAAGAATTGGTATTTTTAATAGAATTAGAAAGATTTATAGGAAAAAATTCAAACAAAGTTGAAAAGTACATAACTGAAGGTAAAAAAAAAAAGTCCTAAGTGGTGAAGATAGGTAGCGGTAAGTGTTGATTTTCAAAGACTTCATGCCGAAACAAATTTGTTTGTTCAACTGACAATATAGAGGGTGAAAGACGTCGAAATTGTGTTTTTTTAATTGATTGATGTCAAAATTTAACCAGCGACACAAATGTTTTATAAATCGCCTATTTATAAAACGACAAAACATATTTTTCATGTTATTTATGTCAGTTGTCAACGTCACTCAAAGCAAAATAAACAGGAAAAGTCCCTAAAGTAGAGAAGATAATGACATACCGAAACAATTTTTTTTGTTCAATTGATAATCTAGAGAGTGACAGCCGTCGAAATTTTTTTTTTTATGGACATATGTCCAAAATGAACCAGCGATTCAATTTTTTTATAAATCGGCAGTAGATATTAAGCCACTGGACCTGCCTTTACGATTTTTCTCTGGATCTGGGTAAATTTGTAGAGTAGATCTGGCAATACCGTACCGTATGAAATAATGGTAATTACGAGTAATAATTAACCAGAAACTTGATTAAAAAAAGCAACACCGATATATTCCCAAAACAGATAACGAGCAAGAGGAGAAAGAGGGTCAACAGGGAAAAAACGAAAGTGTGGGGGTGGCTATTACAAAAAAAAGGATATGGAAGATTATGTCAATTGTCAACGTTACTCGATGTAAAATAAACTAGTAGATAAAAGTTGCTTTTAAGACACAATGCACCCGGTTGCAAGAACGCTCTGTAAATCTCTTAATAGCTAATTCCATAACTTTATAAGATTGTGCGTAATTTGAAGTTTCTTGTCATTCAGACTGATCACATTTTCAAGCGCGGTCAAAATTTAAATGAAGGCTATTGAAACCGGCCGATAAAATAAAAATAAATAATCAATAACGAGTAAAATTTACGAATTTGACGTATGACAAGCAACATTTTCTAAATTAATCTATCACGCTTATAGACATTTCTGAATTTGAAATATGACAAACGACACATCTATCAACGTTATTTTTCTAATAATGATTATTTTTATCCAATTTTTTTTAGAGATATGTTAGGCAGTTTAAAGATTTATAAGATTTAGTGGAAGATAGAATTGTTGCTTTGTATAACTAAGTGATAACGAACTTGCTTAGTTGACACATGTCAAATATAACTGTCGATATTTGTTTTATAAGATGACATACTGCAAACTTAAAGTGATATTTGTCAATTTTTTATTTCTAAGGTGATACGACGTCAAATCTTTGGTGCGTTTGATTTGAACATCGGAGATCTCCAAGCGCTTCAAAAGTGTTTGAATTGACACTCCGAGAGATCCCTAAAGTGTTTGTTTCGCTTTGGAGCGAGAACATAGAGCGAGCTCGATGTTCTCAGAGCAGAAAGATCGAGAAGAGGGAGAAATTTGTCTTTTTAATTAAATTTGAATCTCAAAATTAAAGACCAGACAAGAAGTCAACAAATTACTTAGCCGCTTTTGTCTTATAGCTAAAATTATTCATCATAAAAAAACACAAAATGTGTGTTTGGAAAATACATTTTTTCTGTCCAGATCTAATCACCAGTAATCACAGTCATGGAGTGGGAGAGCGAAGCAGGCATTTGTGGTAAATGCGCATTTCAGGGCCATTACCCCTTATTATTAAAAGTTTTTCCATTTTCTTTACTTTTTGCTCACTATTTTAACATACAAACCAGAAACAAGAATCACAAAAAAGCGAGGTTGTTTTTTACTCTGTTTTATTTGATTTGATTCAATGCTCTATTGTGACGTCATCACTTCTCGGTCTCCTCGACGCTCGCTCGATCGAGTTTCAAATCAAACGCCCCTATAGGTGGAAAATCATTGATAGATGTCATAATGTGTAAAATCATTGAGAGACGTCAAATATAGGTGGAAAATCATTGGCGTACCCAAATTTTTGTCCAGTATTTAATCAAATTTGCACATTAAAAAAATCGGTCAATAAATCAGATTGGATGACTAATTTTTTTTTTGGGTAGAACCGTATACAGTATTATTTATTAAATAACTTAATTAAAAACAATCCAATAGGTTTCATTTTGTGTATATACAGCGTGGTCCGAAATGTTCTCAGTCGCGATGATTAAGTTAGACATTAAAAACATATTAAAAACTTCGTCAGTTTTATTTAGGGTGCAATATTTTTTTGTGTAAACATTTTATCCCAAAATTGAGGGAGAACAAAATAATTAAATAGTTAAGTACGTTTAAAAAGCATGTTTATTAATAATAATGAAGTACTCATAAAACGAAACCACAAAAATACTTGTCACAGCCTAAAATACTATTTTTGAACGTCAAAATTTGCTTCGAATTTTTTAAAACCCGCCCAGTCGCCCTATGTAAGTTAAAAAAATTAATTATCCATTATCCCAGAATGACGTTGGCACCACTGAATAATCAATGGTTGGATATCTGTCAGATTTTCATGACCATATTTAATGTACACAGACTATTAAATAGTTTGCTTTGAATTTGACGGTTAGTTAATTAAGAAAGTTGTTAATTTTTATCACCATTTTAATTTTAATAATAGCAACTGTCATTACAAGTAATAACTGTAACAGATGTCAATATTACACTCCCAAACGATTAAAGCAGACTTTTTAAGGCAAACCATCTGCACACAACTGTCACTTTTACAGGTCTATATCGCCAAAAGTAGGTTGACACTTTTGACAGCTGTCAATAGTCAATATTTTTAAGCGCTCTTAAAGAAACGGATTTGACAGAATTTCAACGAACCATAGGACTTTTGACGCACAGGAAAGGAAACTTCGACGACTGCAAAGTAGGTATAAGCAATAGAAGAAGAAACAGTTAATTGTGACGTTTTCAAATATCAGGAGCGGTTTCAAATAATGGTCGTGGTTATTTTATAAAAACAACGACTACAAGTCTGAGTATTTTTCTTCCATCTATTCAGATTCGATTTGAATTGAGTATGGGTCTTTTAGACTTACAATCAACCCTCCTCTGTTGACAAGATTTATTTTATTTATGTTTACTGTACTACAAAGCAGAAATTATAGAAGGATGATGTTAAGAACAAAATCCATAAACTGCCACCAGGAACTGTAGGACAAAGGCTGCAAAGAAAGCTGAATAGAATTTTGTAGTAAATAAAGCATGAAAATAGGAATCGTTAAAATCCCGCCAAATCCTTTAACGCTAGCAAAAGAACATTCGAACCTCGCCAGAACCTATTTTCGCATACTATATAAATATATACGCATTGTATTTGTTTCACAGACACATAGTAACCCGCATTCATCTTTTTTCTGGTTTAAAAAAAATCACCGAGATATTTCTTTAAAAGTTAACGGTTCCCGCTGCCCCCCCTCCGATCGGGCCGTCACTCCCCGCCCGTGACGGCTACTTCCTGCAATATGGCACCGTCAGGTTGTTGTAGGGAGTTCAGGATGGGCCCGTCGACGGTCGGAGAACTGGGGGCGCTGCTTTCGGACTCGTCGTCTTTTTTCGGTTCCTCAGATTCTTCGCCTGGTTTGTTGTCGGCCGTGGGGGTTTCTTGGGGATCGGTCGGCGTCGGCGGCGACTGTTCGTCGTCTTGATGTTCCTCTTCCTCGGGAATCGATTGGGAGACCTCGTCGTCCGATTTCGACAGCCTGTCGGCGGGTTCTAGATTGATTATGTCCTAGAACAATAAAGAGGGATTATTAAAAAAAAGTTATCAAGTCAGACGTTGGAATAAACTGAAATATCGACAGCCTGTAGGCGGGTTCTAGGTTCATTATGTCCTGGAACCCAAGAGGAGAATTTTTAATTTTACAGTTAATGATGTACATTTGGAATAAACTGCAATCTCGACAGCCTATCGAAGGGTTCTATGTTCAATTTATCCTGGATCATAAGAGGTAGATTGTTTTTTTTTTAATTTTGTCAAAAAAATCGACACTAAACGATTCCTTGTTCGAATAAATTGAAACTTCGACAGCCAGTCGGCGGGTTCTAGGTTGATTATGTCCTAGAATCAAAAAAGGGAATTTTTTCAAAATATAAAATATTCAATGGTAAACGATTCCTTGTTGGAATAAACTAAAATTTCGACAGCTTATCGGCAGGTTCTAGGTTCATTATGTCCTGGAACCCAAAAGGATTATTTCATAAAAATTTGATCAAAAAATTCGATTGTAAATGATTTTTGGTTGGAATAAACTGAAATGTTGAGAGCCTGTCGGCGGGTTCTAGGTTCATTATGTCCTAAAACCCAAGAAGAGGTAGATTGATGTTTCAAGATTTTATTAAACAATTCGATACTAAACGATTCCTTGTTGGAATAAACAGAAATTTCGACAGCCTGTCAGTGGGTTCAAGGTTCATTATGTCTTGAAACCCAAAATGGCAAAAAATTCGACGGTAAACGATAATGGAATAAACTGAAATATCGAGAACCTGTCGGCGGGTTCTAGGTTCATTATGTCCTAGAACCCAAGAGGTAGATTGATTTTTCAAGATTTTATCGACAAAAAATTATTCCTTGTTGGAATAAACTGAAATTTCGATAGCCTGTCGGCTAGTTCTATGTTGATTATCTCCAAAAACCAAAAAGGGGAATCTTTTTTCAAAATTTTATCAAAAATTTCGACTTTTGAGAGCCTGTCGGCGGGTTCTAGGTTCATTATGCTCTGGAACCAAAAAGGAAGAATATTTTTCGTATTATTAAAAATGTTGGAAAAAACTGAAATTTCGACAGCCTGTCGGCGGAATCTAAGTTCATTATGTTCTGGAACCCAAAATGGGTCATTTTTAAAAAAATGTATAAAAAAAATTAGACTTGAAACGATGTTAAAGTAAACTGAAATTCGACAGCCTATTTGGCAAGTTCTAGTTTCATTATGTCCTGGAACCCAAAAAAGGTTTTTGTTTTAATTTTTTTCAAAAAATTCAACGATTAACGATTCCTAGTTGGAATGAACTGAAATCTCGATAGTCTGCCTTGTCGGCGGGTTCTAGGTTCATTATATCCTAGAACCAAAGAGGGAATTTAAAAGTTTTGTAAAATATTTAATGGTAAACGATTCGTATTTGGAACAAAACGATTTCGACAGCCTGACAGCAAGTTTTAGGTTGATTATGTCCAGGGATCCAAAAGGGTGATTATTTTTAAAAAATTCGACAGTAAACAATTCCTAGTCGGAATAAACGGAAATTTCGAGAGCATGTCGGCGGGTTCCAGGTTCATTATGTCTTGGAAACCAAAAATTTTTTTTTTAATACGACGGGTAACAATTCCTTGTTGGAATAAACTGAAATTTCGACACCCTGTCGGCGGGTTCTATGTTGATTAAGTCCTAGATCCCAAAAGAGGGATTTTTTTTAAAATTTTGTAAAATATTCAATGGTAAAAGATTCCTAGTTGGAATAAACCGATTTCGATAGCCTGTCGGCTGGTTCTAGGTTCACTATGTCCTGGAGCCCAAATAGCATAATATTACTTTTAAAAATTTTGTAAAATATTCAACGGTAAATGATTCCTAGTTGGAATAAACCGATTTAGACTGTCTGTCGGCGGGTTCTAGGCTCATTATATCCTAGAACCCAAAAGGGGGATTATTTTTTCAAAATTTTGTAAAATATTTAATGGTAAACGATTCCTAGTTGGAATAAACCGATTTTCACCGCTGTCAGAGGGTTCTGGGTTCATTATGTCCTGGAACCCAAAATGGATATTACGTTTTAACATTTTGTAAAATATTTAACGGTAAACGATTCCTGGTTGGAATAATCCGATTCAGACCGCCTATCGGCTTGTTCTAGGTTAATTATATTCCAGAACCCAAAAAAAGGGGTTATTTTTTAAAAATTTTATCAAAAAATTCAACTGTAAATGATTTTTGGTTGTAATAAACTGAAATTTTGACAGCGTGTCGGCGGGTTCTAGGTTAATTATGCCCTGGAACCCAAAAGGAGGATGCTTTTTCAAAATATTATCAAAAAATTCGACGGTAAATGATTCCTAGTGTAAATAAATTGAAATTTAGACAGCCTGTCGGCGGGTTATAGTTTCACTATGTCTTTGAACCCAAAAGGAGGATTATTTTTTTGAAATCAACTTAAATTTTATTGAGACACAGAGTGATTAATAGGTTAAAACCTACCTGAGCTCTGACAGAGACAGCACCATTTGTCGGCGTACCGCCATCTTCCCCACACGGCCTTAATACCAGGTACAATAGTAAATCGGACAAAGATATTATGCCTAATACTTTGTCTTCATCGTCTACAACAACTAACCTATGAACCTAAAAAAAAGACAAAATATTAGCTTTAAGAAACTATATGCATTCCAAAAGTTCCTTGTGGTACGTTCATTTCTAAAATTTGAGCAATATATTTAAATGTCAATAAATTTTTTATAACAAATACAGGAAGTTGAAGGATATTATTTGTAAGATGAATAGTCAAAAGCTTTTGCTGAATCAAAATGCAGGGAGTTATTGAGAGACATTTTTTTGAACTTACTTCTGCTTTAACAATTTTCTCCATAATAGTGTACAAAGTTTCATCTAATTTACATTTATATACACCCTCGAACCACTCGTTTCTGTGTTCATTGGCCTTCTTCAGTGACACGTCTAAGTCGTTATAAGTTTTTTCTGCCGCCAGATTCTACAAATTAAAAAAAAACAAATGTTAAAATTTAAAAATATGTATTGAAAAAATGTATAATGTACAAAATTCATACAAAAATGTTGTAAAAACATTTTGAAGCCAGTAATTCGATATCGTTACTGGATTTAAAATGACCGGTTGTTAAAATAAAATTAATTTGACTCCAAAGAAAAAACAAAGCTTTCTGGAAAATTCACAAATTTAAAACCGGATATTGAAAAAGACTAAAACTCAAACCAAAATGCTTGTAGAAAAATTTCGTTGAAAACAGTAATTTGATATAGTTACTAATTTTAAAATGGCCGGCTGTTAAAGTGAAATTATTTGATTCCAAAGAAGTGACAACGCCTTCAAGAAAATTAACAAATTTAAAACCAGATAGTAAAGTTTAAAATTCACAGAAACTATACAAAACACTTGTAAAAATATTCTGTTGAATTCAGTAATTCGATATTGTTACTTGTTATAAAATGGCCGGCTGTTAACGTTAAATTAGTTGATTCCAAGGAAGTGACGCCTTCAAGAAAATTCACAAATTTAAAACCAGACAGTAAAAAAGTCTAAAATTCACAAAAATCATACAAAATACTTGTAGAAACATTTTGTTAAAGCCAGTAATTCGATATAGTTACTAATTTTAAAATTTCCGGCTGTTAAAGTCAAATTATTTGCTTCCAAAGAAGTGACAACGCCTTCAAGAACATTCACATATTTCAAACTAAAAATTGTTGCAGTCTAAAATTTACAAAAATCATGCTACAAGGCACTTGTAGAAACATTTTGTTGCATCCAGTAATTTGGTATTGTTTCTGGTTTTAAAATGGACAACTATTATTCGATTCCAATGAAGTGACGATGCCTCCAAAAATTTAAAACCAAATATTGAAGAGTCTAAAGTTTACCGAAATCTTACAAAATAGTCGTATAAAAATTTAGTTGAATCCAGTAATTCGATAGCGCTACTGGTTTTAAAATGGGCTTCTGTTAAAATCAAACTATTTGATTCCAAAAAGTGACAACTCCTCCATTAAAATTCACAAATTTAAACCCATATATTGAAAAATTCTATAATTTATTGAAATCATATGTAAAAACATTTTGTTGAAGATCATAATTCGATATCGTTACTGGTTTTAAAATCGCCAGCAATTAAAATCAAACTGGTTGATTCTAGAAAATTCACAAATTTAAACCCTTATATTCAAATAGTCTAAAATTTACAGTAATCTCACAAAACACGCGTTGAAGCCAGTAATTCGATATCATTATTACTGGTTATAAAATAGACAGTATTTAAAGTCAACTATTCGTTTCACAAAGTTTGAACCAGATAATTAAAAAGGTTAAAATTTACCGAAAATATACAAAATATGTGACGAAACATTTTGTCGAAGCCAGTATTCGATATAGGGGTCTATTCTGTAATAATTCCTTTATATTTTAACAACCGTTAAAATATTGGAGGCCTTTAAAAATATTCTCGTATTTACTAAATTACTTCTGTCATTATTTAAATGGATTCCTTTAAAATACCGTTACGCAGCACCCTGTAGCATGCTGCGGTCGTCATAAGTAAAGGTACGAGTAAATAAAGAAGATAGAATAGTCCATAAATCTCTCGAAATGTCATTCCTTGTCAAAGAAAAGTCCGGATTGTTCGAGAAGGTTCTAGAAGGTAGAGGCAAGCTATATAAGTCGACGACCTGATGTCAGAGTTCAGTTTTATGATAGACGTTACACGTTAATGTTATCAGTTGCATTGTTATTGTTAAAGTTCAGTTGAAATAAATTGTGATACCAAAAACCTGCGTAACAATACATTAGAGGACTATTTAAAGAAATCCGTTTAAATAATGACAGAAGTAAATTAGCGAATACGAAAATATTTTTAAAGGCCGCCAATATTTTAACGGCCGTTAAAATATAAAGGAATTGTTACAGAATAGACCCCATAGTTATTGATTTTAAAATGATTGGCTATTAAAATCAACCTATTTTATTTTAAAGATGTGACAGAATTAAAAAAAAAATTCACAAATTTAAAACCTTAAATTGAAATTCTATAATCTACAGAAGCCACAAAAAACACTTACAGAGACATTAAGACCGCAACGCAATATGTTTACTGACTTTAAGATTGAAGGCTATTAAAGTCACAATATTTGATTCCAAAAAAGTGAGTGACACAGTCTTCTAAAAAATTTACATCTCCTCGACTAAACATTACATTGAGACTATTCCGCCACAAATTTCCATAATTATAAATTCGCCGTCTTCGCAAAACGATAACGGCGATTATTCATTACAATTTCCTCAGCCAACAAGGTCGTTTAAACAAGAGACAACGTGGGCGCCTAACATTATAAATATGCTAATATCGTTTATACTTACAATGACATCGAACTTGGCATAGATATCTACAAGTCTTCCTTCGATATCGATCACAGGCAAGGCTGATACTCTCCTTTCGACGAATTTCTTTAAAGCTAGAATTATAGTGGTCTCCTCCGAGGCCATTTCGATGTTGTCGTACGAACCAATCCTGAGTTCCCGTAACGTTTTATGCATGTAACTGGGTTTTGGTAATTCGTTAATCTGCAATCAAATCAATCATATTTAAACATAGATATAGGATAAAGAACTAAAGAAGCTAAAGATCGTTTACATTTTGGCCCGCGCCAACAACGCTTCCCATTCTAAAGCGGACATAATCTACGAAAACCGAGGGATTACTGGAGAGTACTATACACCCACAGTGAATCAAAGAAAAAAATCGTAGAAATATTGTAGACATTTTATTACTATGCCATTTTCCTTCCTTTTCAGGATGTTTTAACGTAGCAGAGACGTTTTAATTAAAGTTCAGTTATTTTCCAAATGTAAAGAAGTTTAAAGAAAATTTGGTGGCGCTTTTTGATAGCAAATTTTATGAGAATTTTGATGTAATTTAAGTATATTTTGGTCGGAAAACCGATCAAACTACTCCTAAACTTATTTGCACTGATCATTCTGAGAATCCACATAACATCAACCTAAATAATCAAGATCAGTAGAATTTATTTTAAAATCAGTAGAATCATTCCAACATCCTTACTATAGAGCAGCGTTATTCAAAGTCTGCTCCGTAAAGCCTTTGTGGGGGCTCCGCGAAGAAAATAAGCAGTACCTATCGCTATAACAGGACTATGCTTGAGGATCAATTTTTTTTAGAAGGAGTAAATGAGTTGTGGTATTTCGAGTTAGAGGTTTTTTTTGTTTTAGAAGTGAGGAAGATAGTATATGATTTGGTATTTAAAGGTGGAGAACCTTTTTTTTTTAGAAGTGAGGAAGAGGAAGGAAATATGGAGTATATGATTTGGCTTTTTCGACTGGAGGACTTCCTTTTTTTTAGGAGATAGGAATAGGAAGGAGCATATGAATTGGCATATCCGGCTGGAGGACGTATATGATTTTGAGAATTTTGTTGTAGGAGCTCCGCAAAGAAATGGAAGGGACCTGGCAAGAGGCTAGAGCAAGGAGGGCTTTTTTTCCGAAATGTGTTTAGGGCTCCATCAAATATTTCACTTTTCAAAAAGGTTCCGACATCAAAACAGTTTGAGAACCACTGCTCTAGAGCAATATTTATATAAATGTCGGTGGCGCCGATGTTTAACTTTTGTTTTAAGAAGTTTGATTTATTGGTAGCCGGTATTTCAATAAGATAAGTTCTACTTGGTTTTCATACGTGATGACTTAGCAAAAATGATACACACTTGCCATTCATAGTGAGAGGCAAGGGGGGCGGAACAGAGCCGGCAGGATGTTAGTAGAAAATAAGTAATGAGAACAGATTAAAAACGTGTGATCGATCGGGCGGTGGTACGCTGGCTCCGGATCGCTAGTATCATTCCTTTAATTGATTAATAATTATTATCCGTATTTCTTTAATAATTATTTGTGTATCGTTGTTTAAAGTGTTGTCAACATTGTTTATTGTTCTATATTGCATTAACAAGTTTTACAAGTGTAAAATGTAGTGTTTTGTCACAACAATGTCTGACGGTAACGCCCAAAATATCCGAAATACGACATATATTAAAAATGTGTACTTACATACAAAAATAAAAACCTAAGTATTCGTTTATGCGTTAGAATATACAGTACGTTCCCCGTTTCGGGATCGATTACGGGCAATCTGTGGATCCTGTTATGGATCAAGGTCTTTATGGCATCGTACAGAGACGCGTCCGGTTGTATGTTGATCAACGGTTTCTTGTCCTTCAAAACGTGCCGCCACGTGTCCAATTTGTGCTCCTCGAGCTCCTCCATTTGAACCTCGGGCGATTTGTAGTACATCCTCAGGATCTTGATGAAATCCGTTATGGTTAACATGCCGACGAACTCCTGTTTGGTGCTGTCCCACAGCGGTGCTGCCCTGACACCTAATAAACAAAATGTATACATTAATGTCACTATATTAGGCTGGTGGTTCAATTTTTTTTTTAATAGCAAGTGGCACGTAACGGCTTAAAAGAATTATATAGACAACTATACAGTGTGTAACAGCCAAATGGAATAAATTCAGTATCTCAATTACTGTACATGTATATTCAAGAGATAGTTGCAACCCTCAATAGGAAGTAGGGATTTGTGATACATTTGAATGGTCTCTTCATGCTCTATTTAAATATGCTGTGATTTTCAAATTTATTATAAACTCATTTGGTCGACGAAATTCGCTACAACACCCTAAACAATTAATAACTAATAGAATGTCGTTCTTGATAATGAGAAAGCAAGCAAAAACAATTTCAATGGCCTTTTTGACGGTAATAAAAAAAAAACGGCATCAAAAGTTATTAACATTCTTCATAGTTGGCACTCTTCATTACGTTTAAAGCGCCTCAGCAACTTGCATGATTGTAACCGCATAATATTAATTGCTGTCAATATTATACGTATCATTTGAATTTATTAACTACAGGTTTAAACACGGTTTATTTAACAGAAATAAATAAAATAATTTTAGAAATGATTGATTACAGAGACAAAACTCGAACACAGATAGAAGTTGTTTGCCTATTTAAAAAAAAATACCGATTTGACGCCTAATTCTCAAGGGATAATTAGTAAAATTATTAAAAAAACAATTTCGAAAGGATAAAAACGCCTTCACTGAGTAACGATATCAAATTCGACGTTAGCTCATGGAAGACAATTTTGATAGAAGAACGCATTTTTGTGAGCAATTAATGCAAATGTTAGATACCTAACAATGTTGTATTTTCTGATAAATGCACTTTTACGCCTTCACAGCCATAATAATTGTCAAAATTGTCGATACGTCTTATGACAATCCTCACTGGATAAGAGAAGAACATATACAATACCCTGAAAAGGTTAATGTTTGGGCAGGGATAGTTGGAAACCATGTCATTAGTTCCTTTTTCATTGATGGCAATTTGAATGGAGATAATTATTTAACACTGCTCCAAAATAATGTCGTACCAACTTTGGCAAATTTATATCCCACAAGTACAAGCGAATGTGATATGGTTCCAGCAGGATGAATCATCACCACTTTATCAAAACAATGTCCGGCAGTACATCGACTAAATATTTCCAAATCGGTGGATAGGGAGGCGAGGATCCATAGAATGGCCAGAACGATCACCTGATCTTACACCACTGGAATTTTTCCTATGGGAATATATGCTATATAAAACTAAACCACGTGATATGTCTGATTTAAGAAGAAGAAGAAGAAGAATAACGATGTTTTTCTTATTTTTTACAATATCAAGAACGAAACTTTTTTTATTGTTAATTTTTGTAATAAATTTGAAAAGCACAGTATTTTTGAATAAATAATGAAGATACCTTTCAAATGAGGTGTCGCAAGCCTCTACTTCCTATTTACATATTTAAGGGTCGCAACGGTCACTTAAAGGTGGTCGAATGTTTGAGTGAAATTTTTACGTTACAGGATGTCATTTTATAATCTAAAATTGACGTTTTTCAGGACTGTTTATAAATAGGCATAGTCATTTAGCTACTGAATTTATCATATTTCGCTGTTACAATTTTCAGAATAACTAATGCATTTTACAATTATATTATTGAAAACTTTTATACAGCATCTATTCTATAAACACAAAAAAGGCCGAAATTTATGAAACGAATTTATATTTTTAGAGTCATATTGCAATTGTATAAAATAATAAAAAAAAATAAGACCCTCAACAATTAAAAAAAGTACTCTAATGTTTGTCGTAGCTTAGATCTTAGATAGAAATATGTAAATCCTATAATGCACTTAACAACTGCTATATAATGTAATACAGCCAAAAAGAGTTCCATTTTATACATTCTATAACAAAACTATACAACTATTATACAGCAATTTTAAGTGATGATTATAAAACTTTCTAATAAGAGTATCTCCAGGATTATTTATACAACTTTATGTTATAGATGTCAAAATAAGAGCGGCACTAATAGTGACTGACATTAAGTGAACTTGCAATAACTCTCTAATTAAATAAGTCTACTGTCACTATTATTGGCATTGGAACACCGTAGTATATTTGAGAAAGTTATATTTAAAAAAAAATGAGTTTTGGTCAGTTATAAAGAGCAAACCGAATACCTTGAAATTCTAATTTCTTCTGATCCTTTTTTTAATTTGATTTTTTTGAAATGTTCAGGAAATACCAATAATAACAAAACTAAAGGTGGAGAAAAGTATTTATTTTGATAATTTTTAAAAGGAATAAAAATTCACGAGCCATTCTGTATTAAATCTTTGAAAATTCCTGCTTTTTGGTTTAATATCTAGTAGTTTTTGAATGGAAAGGTTTTCATTTTTTTCTTAAATGTCTCTGGAGAGTACAGCCATATCGTTGCACACATTTAACGCTCTAAATATTCTCGAGACACATAACATCGCGAAGTATACCCAGTGGCGCGCATGTAAATACAATTTTGTATCAGTTTTTTTATTTATGTTTAATTTATTCATTCTTGTTTTCATTGTACAATATATAACTTTTGTATTTTCGTGAATGCCCAAAATTACTTGTACTACTGTAGTATTATTTTCATTTCTAAATTAAAAATCGCAATATTTTTTTTTATTTTGTCTAATTTATTTGATATATACACGTACTTACCATTATATACAAGGGCAAAAAAGGCCTTTTTGACTAACAACTGGGTATCGAAAACGACTAGCTTGGCTGATGTTGGAATCAGATCGTAGCATTTGTGAAATTTGAAAAATTTAACAAATATCTGTGACTCGTCTTCTTCTGTAACGAAATAAAAAAAAAAACAATAAGTAAAACATTAAAAATAAATATTTGATCATATCTTTAAAAAATCAGATTGATTCCTACAAATATCGATTATTATATACAGGGTGTTTCAGAATAAAATACCGTAAACTGGAACAAAGCTAAATATAATTTGCCTCTAAACAAACGGTCGAGTTTTCATTCTACAGGGTGATAAAGAGAATTAGATAAATACGTAATTTTCTAAATATCTTCCCTTGCGGCAAAGAATTTAACTTAAAAATAAGTACTTTTCAGCTAATCACCATGATTAATTAAGACAATCAAGGGATAAAAGAATAATAATTATTTCTCTCGCAATTTGTCACAAAAAAGGGCTCTTGATCTTTGTAAAACATGTACATTATGAAATTCCAAAAATGCCAATTTTTAGAGGGCCCATTTCATAATCAATATTAAAAAGTCCATTAAGTTAATAAGATCTTGGTCCCATTAGTTAATGGACCTTTCAATAGCCATTATGAAATCGGCCCTTGATAAAATTGTACATAGATTTCATGTTTGAGTAGGACTAAAACTGAAAAATCTCGGAAATGGAATGTTCTACAGATATTAACGAAAATCCCCTTTTTGCGTAAGGAATAATTATTAATCTTTTATGAAATACGTTCAAAAAGTTTGCCCTTGAGTCTACGGGTTCTATGGGTTATCATAATTTATCGAAATAGAGAGTGTCAGCTAATAATGGCGATTAACTAATATGTTCATATTTTTTAAGTTAAAATCTTTACCGTAAAGGAAGATAGAAAATTATAAATTTATGAAATTCACTTTTAGCACCCTGTAGAATGAAAACTAGGAAGTTTACAGGAAAATTATATTTAGCTTTTCTTAATAATTAATTAAGATCTACAAGTTTACGGAACTTTATTATTAAAAAATAAAAAAACATCAAAGATACTAAATAAATTTTGCGTAGATGTTACATTAACAGATGTGTAAGCGTTAAATCAAAATATTAAGGTGCTTTATATTTTTTTAATAGCTTTTGAAGCATCTTTAACACTTGGATTTATGGCTCCAATGCTGCCAACGTGTAGGCAAAACATTTTAAATCGTCCGAATTTCTACGGGTAAAACGTATCCGATTTTAATTTTTGCCTCGTTAATTTTTTAACCTCTTTAAAAATTTGAAATAAATCTTTTGTAAATCGTTCATGGCAAATCTAAATTTTTTTCAGCAGTTTCTTGTTTGTGTGTGTTATTATGCGAATCACTTTCATGAGCAACATATCATGAGCTCGAGATAGGAAGGGTCAATCTTTAATATATATCAAATACCACAACCAAATAAATCAGAAGAATTACCGAACTGGGACAAACCTCTCCAAAGAAAATTGAAAAGGATATAAAAACAAATATTGATCCTAAGAATGCTTCTAGCTTTGATTTAATTATATACAAGTGAAGTTTTAAAAAAAACTTCCGAAGAAAACCATAATAAAACAGACAATGCCTCATTCAAACTATGGTTTGTGTTTAGGTTGTGGAAAGTAACTGCAGTCATTATGATCCCTGTAGTGTATTGACATCTAGTGATTCATGTGTTAATGTAGAGAATATCACAGGCGAGTACATTTAATGCGGTCCCTACTCATAAAAATCCGACAGTAATAGAACTTCATTGTAAAAAAAATTGGGTTGGTATATACATAGAAAGCCTAAGAAAAGCTGTATGTTAAAAAAAAATGACGCCATTTAAATTCGACACCGATAGCCATGTTATTATGCTGTCTATATTGTGGACAATAACTAAACATTTCGTAGTAAAAACATTAAAAAGAACGACTAGGATAGCTGACGAAAATGCATGTATTTTTTGGGGACTAGGCATTCAGGTTGTTTATGATAAACTGCAATGTTATACCGTGGTAACCAACCTCTGTTTATGGTTGTTAAGGGAGTCATAACGGGCTAGCCCGATAATAGTAGTTTACGTTATAAGCCTGTTACCTAGATCTTTACATGCGAGCACGGTCGTTAATGTGCGAGCGCTAGCGAGTACGTTATATGACCGTGCAAGCACATAGAAATCAGGCAACGGGCGTGTATCGTACGTTTTATGATATGCGAGCACGGTCGTTAATGTGCGAGCGCTAGCGAAAACGTTATATGACCGTGCAAGCACATAGAAATCAGGCAACGGGTGTGTATCGTACGTTTTATGATATACTGCAATTTAATACGTTTTATGGCCTAAAATCAAATAAAATTTTATCATTTGACACCATCATTATAAGTTTCCGAATACGACTTAAAATAATGACAGTTCAGTCAGAACTCTTGTTAATAAAAAGTAATTATTATGGTTTTATTAAGTGATCGGTTCAAAATTTTACCGGGATAGCCCGTTCGTTATGACTCCCTTAACAACCATAAACAGAGGTTGATTACCATGGTATAACATTGCAGTGTATCATGACTGAACTGTCAGTTGCAACTGAAATGTCATTATTTTAAGTCACATTCGGAAACTTGTAATGATGTCAAATGATAAAATTTTATTTGATTTCAGGTTGTAAAACGTAGTAAATTGGAGTATATCATAAAACGTTGTACAGTACACGCCCGTTACCTGATCTCTACGTGCTCGCTCTAGGTGACTGGCTTATAACGTTAACTACTATTACATAAGTCATTTTATGGACTACTATGTTAAAGAAGTTTTGTGGTCGTTCCAAATAGTGCAATTCCAGATGTTGATATTATTATTGGATGCAATGTCAGATGTCGACCTTGTTTAAGTGTCGAGAAAAATTCCGACGGGATTTAGTTACATCAAAACCTGCTCAAAATTCCGAAAATATTTACAATAAAAAATTGAACGATATAAAAATTAATCGATTAGAATTAAAAGACACTTTAAAAATACAAGTGGAGAAATTTTTAACATTTTACAAGAATAAAACTCCTGACCACATAAGTACCGGAAAAATGCCAATTAGATTAAAATGCAGTACTCCAGTAAAGTATCAACGAAGGCGATTAGCGTATCAACGACGACGATTAGCATATTAAGATAGTATTCATCTAAAGAAAATTATAAACAGTAGATTTATCCGCAGAAGACACTCAAAATTATGGCGAGTTCGGTTTACCATGTATTCCTCACCTGCAAGTCAAATAACACCATCAATCATCTATAAGTCGCCCCGGAGCGCCACGACAAATAAAATGATAGCCATCCCTTCCCCACACAAACCAAGTCAGATTCAGAGGTTGAAAATCACTCGTAAGGGGGTTAAATATTATTATATTACTATTGTGCTAGTAAGCAAAAAATAATATTGAAAATCAAATTAATGCTTCTTGAACGGCAAAATATTTTACCACGTTGGACATGAAGTCAAGCTTTTATCAAATGAAAATTGAAGAAGGTTCCAAACACATAACTTCCTTTGTCACTCGACCTGTTGCATACTATAATCGCCGTACGACTGATTGTGAATCAAGGCAACATTTTTACAATCTAGAAACTCTTGCTATAGTGGAAGCGGTTGAACACTTTCATATGTACATGTGCGTAATATATACAGACTGCATTTCGGTTCGAAGAACAGCTGTAAAAGAAGAGAATTATATCCGCGCGTGGCATGTTGGTGTGTTGAGTTACAGAATTACAACTTTTCTATTGAGTACCACCCTGGACACTAAATGTAACATTTAGACTATTAAAGCCGAAATCCAGTGGATGATGTAAGCGAGTTAAAAGTGTGGCCGTTAAAAATAACGAACAAACAAACAAAATTACAATAAGAGTACGCTACCAAAGTGATACCTTTTATCATCATATAATTAATAAGCTGGTCTTTGATTTTGACCTAACTGTTGAGAAAAACATGATCACCAACTAAAACAAGACTCCAGAAATATTTTGAACTCGTTGCAGAGCGATTGTTTATATAATGATGAGTTTTCATATATAGGATGGAACTAGTGTTGTCCGAAATTATTTGTTATTTTATATTGGCCGATAATGGATCGGTGTCTAATAAAATACATTACACATAGCATATTGATCATGCAGGCCCTTTAGTAAAATCTAGTAGTTGCATTCAAATATTAGCTATAATCATAGAAATAGTATAGAAAGCCGATTCCATATATCAAAAATGAAACCATAAGGAGAAAATAGAGAAAATAACGGTGCTGGCGCGAACAGGACCGGTGCAAGTTTTTTATTGATCGAACAAATAGTTCGCACGATATTTCAATCATACATTTTTAGAGATGATTCTATACAAAAAACGATTAAAAAAATTTCAAGTTAAGATAAATATGGTTCTGACAGTCCTTATTAAGAAAGATATGGCATAAAATATGAATTAGTTAATTTTCGGCAATCATTAGTACAGTAGTCATGAGATTTTGCTTGTGATTTTAAAAATACTTTCCAGAAAAACCACGTGCTCCGGTTTTGACTACGTTTATTATTAAACAGCGAAATTATATACAAAAACTTTAATCCATAATCTAAATTAGGTACTATCACAAGAAAATCACTGTTACAATAATTAATTACTTAACCAAAAACTAAAATACTTTTTAGGTACCTACGTAACCAGAAAGGAGCTGGACCATTTATCCTAATATTGATTTTATCTCTCCCTACGGTAAAACTTAAAACAATAACAAATTGCCTATCTACTAGGGTCGGTAACTAAACGTATATACATAATTTTATACTTAACATTACACTCGCGCATTTAAATATAACTATGCATATAAATATTTACAAACAAAGATACTTTTCCAAACAGGCAATCATTAGTACTGTAGTCACGAGATTTTGCTTGTGATTTGACATCTTATTTGATAATATCATTTGCTACAACTAAATTTAATCTGGGGAGTGCAAAATAGGGCCCAGGAATATTATGTTCGATATTTTTTTACATTTTGTCAGCCGAGACTATGAGTCGTTAGACAGAAAACCTTTCATGTTTCCATTTTCA